GGGGGGGGGTCCTTGTTGTAATTATAGTAATTTATACCCCAAAACTTAGGCGCTTTCGAATTGGACACAAGGCCTGACGAAAGATACCCCAAAACCCTATTCTCATTATTAGGTCCCTAGATTAGGTTCAGGGCTTTAGAGGTTTTGGGCTTTACTACTCCGAGCCGCGCGCTCAAATCGTTCGGCCCTTCCACCCCGTGTTGACGATGTCTAGCCGCGGGATGAGGTACTCATGCTTTGTAACTCTGCCAAACTTGAGATTATGAAACTCCGAATCGGAGATTGTCCTGTTTGCAGCCGTGCCTAATAGCCGGATGGTTTGAGCTTCAAGAGCCTACAAGTAGTAGATGCGTGCAGGCGGCAGAAGCGCTTCTTCGTTTGGGGCGACAGCCTGGGTGCTGTCTTGGCCTACGAGTTCGCGAAGCTCTGGGAGGTTTCGAAGGGCGGCTCTTGGGTTGAGAGGGCCTTGGGCCTTGTTTTGGGTCAGGGTCTGTGAGGCAGGCTTGGGAGTGGGATCTAAGCGCAGAGGCTGTGCCTTTCCTTTGGAAGGGGGTTTAGGGTTTGGGGGTTGCAGGGTTTTGGGTAGCCCAGGAATGGGTTCGTGCTCTTCCATCACTAGATCTACATAGCCAGCCTCGGCAAGAGTATGCTCATCATCCATCGCACTGGCGTCAGCGAACTTACCACCCATGTTATGCTTATTCTCATCCCTATGTGTACTCTTGCTGTGAGTATCATTCTGCCTGATACTTGTGACCAGCCCCACACTTTGCTGCTGGTACGTAGCACTCGAGGGCCGCATCCTGAAGCGGAGCTTAGCGGGTCGGTCCTGGTCGTGATAGAAGGCATTCCCTAAGGGTCCCTGGGGTTAACTATGTCCCCCTCAGGGTTTCGGGGAGGGGATCTTGGGGGATGCGCAGTGTGCGAGTGTAGGGCTTGGGTTTGGTGCATCGGGCATGCAGTCAAAGAATAATTATCATCAATACCAGTACAGTACTCCTTCTCGCAACCCTAGAGCCCTTAACGCAACCCTTGTAGCAGCCCTTCTAAACTACACTTATAGCAACACTTGTCACGGCCTGACAGTACACCGTAAGGGGGTTGTGAAGAACCACGACCAGACGCTTCTCGCCAGGCAGACCCATCAACCAGCCTTCTGGGCCTCTATGCATCCGGCAATGCGGGGCCTTCTGAGGCAGGGGCAAAGAAAGGGCTTTGAGTGGAAGGATTCTGGGAGTTTGGGTTTTGCGGGCTCAATTGAGGGCTTGTAGGTCTGGTGCGTTTCGGGCTTGGGGTTTAATTGCTTATCTTGGGAGTTAGGGCTGTCTTATGTCTACTCGGAGTTCTGTAAGGCTCTTCAGGGTTTTCGGGTTTAGGATTGCGAAACTTCATAGAGGCGGAGTCCATCCTGAGGGGGGAGAGTCTTCCCCCAGCACCCAAGCTTCTGTGCTTGCGGAGTTAAGGGTTGGGATTTAGGGTTTGGTTCCAACCTCAATACCTGCTGAGCAATGTTCTTCACAATGACTTCTCTATATATACTATCAGTGAGTGTTTCTGGGGTTCAAGGTTCAGGGTCTAGGTGGTCAGGACTTCGAAGCCTTAGAGTATGCCTAATGGTGCATATAAGGCTCCAGTGGCTTACAACTGTTTCTAGAAGCGCTCCTGTAAGGACTCTCGGTGTTTGGGCTTGAACTGCAGAGGTTCTGATTCACCTCAGTTCTCCAATACCAAGCCTTTAAACTTTTTGGGTTCTTACAGTTGGTAAGTATTTAGGCCCCTATATTACGACCCTCAAAGCTCCAGCCCTTTTCCTTAAAGGGCACTATAGGGTTCCATGATAGCGTCCGCCGGCTTGTGGGATCCTTTTATGGCGAACACACCCAAAATTAAAAAAAAACCTACAAAGCTCCTTTTAGTGACAGGGAGCCCACCTAAACCCTAAACCCAAAACCCTAAGCCCTAAACCCTAAGCCCTAAACCCTAAGCCCTAAACCCAAAAACCCTAACCCAAAACCCTAAGCCCTAAACCCTAAACCCTAAACCCTAACCCAAAACCCTAAACCCTAAACCCAAAACCCTCAACCCTAAACCATTTCAGTGACAGGGAGGAGCCCCCTTTCCTTCGCCGGCCGAGGCCAGCCGTGAGCGCGGGATGGGAGAGGCTGCCATGGTCCACCTGGGCTACGAGGGACCGTGCAGGGAAATGACGCAGGAGGAGAGGGAGAAGGGGGATCTCGGGTTTAGGGTTTTAGGGTTTCGGGTTTTGGGATCTTTAGTTCTCTGGTTTAGGATTTTTGGGTTTAGGGTTTAGGGTTTTAGGGTTTAGGGAACTCTGGTTTAGGGGTTTAGGGTTTAGGTTTTTTTTTTATTTGGGTTTAGGGATCTTTAGTGCTATTGTCCTTACGATTGTTTCAGAAATTCGGGACGCTGTTCTGTGCGTCATTACAGGTTAGACGCTCTGGGTTTTTGGGGCTTTCAGGCTTACTGGGGCTTTGTTTGCGGTAGGCCTGGGGTACAATCATGGGGTATCCTCGTTGGGCTTCACTGAAAGTTGCTACGATAGTTTCAGTATATGGGTTATACTTGGAGGATCAGGGGACTTAGTAGTAGGGTTGTGCCTAGGGTACCTATACTTAGGTTGTTAGATACAGTTCTATTCAAGGTGCGCGTGGCCATACATACTAAGTCCGACGACCCTGTTGACGACTTAAAGCAGCAAGCAGCGGGAGATTTGCACATGCTTGGAGATTTCTAACTGGCCAAACCCGTGTCCCATTAGGTTGGACCGGGTTAGGCATTAGGATTTAGGTCTGGGGGTGTAGGGTTCAGATGGCAAGCACGAAGTCTCACACAGGATGCGTTCAACCTGCCGACCCAAGCCACAGGCAAGCCCAATAGACCATCTCGCGCAATCTGGATCAGCGTGCAGGCCGCTAAACAGTTGGAACTTAAAGTATTCCTTTATAGTTCCTAAAGTCTGATGATTATGATTGAGGTTCTTCTTTTTATTATGCTTGCTGTTACTTTTGCTATTCTATTACATACAACCCAGGCCCCATGCCGAAATGAGAGGACTGGAAGCGCTTTCTGCTGGCCTCGGCGGGAACCGGCCGTGCGGAGTTAGAGCAGCTGCTGGAGAAGCAGCTTCGCAGGATGCAGAACTCAGGAACTCCAAGATCGCTCCTTAAAAAACAGGATTCGGGGTCTAGGGTATAGGGTCTGCTAGAATCTGCTAGAACCTAAGGCATAGGCCCACTTCAAACTCTCCACCATGAGTAGATAATTATGTACATCAAGAGTGCTGAATAGGTAGCATTTAGTGGGTTTCCTGAAATGCGGGGGGCTCCTTTAAAGACCTTAGAGTGGCCTTACAAACAGGATCCTACTATTGAGTGTCCCTTACGCGCTGAAGCTCCCGTACTGCTGTGTATTGAAACCAAACTCTCCGGCACAAGAATCAAGGCCCGAACTGGCCGAGAGCATTGTGAACCCGGTGCGTGCCGACTGTCTTGCCTATGAGGCCGGCCGTCGTCGTGGTGGTCGTCCTCGTCGTAGCAGCAGCAGGAGTAGGAGTGGTAGTAATAGCATTGAGCATTGCACGCAGCGCGGAAGTCCGGTCGCCCAGCGTAGGGATCAGAGCAGACCACATGTGCCGGAGCAGCAGAAATGGCAGTAGCAGTAGCAGCAGAGGCAGCAGTAGCAGTATTTGTCACATCTCGCTGCACCTGCTTTCTTGTTTTGTCTGTGCACTCGGACATGCTGCCGATACTGTCCATCAAGCTTCAATTCCAAAAAACTGTCAGATTAGCAACAGGAAGGTTCCCACATGTATCGAGTTTGATGATGTAGGAATCTTGTTCAATCATAAGCCATGTTCCTTAAGATGGCACCCTGCAACGAAGCACGAGTGTTGAAGATGAGGGCTGAAGGCTTCAGTCTCCCAGCCCTCAACCCCAAAGACTGAGCTACTCATCGAATCCCAGCCCCGAATGCTGGAGCTTTGAAGCCGTGTATCCCTACCTGCGCGAGTCCTATTGCTTGAACCAAGTGGAGCGCATCCATTCGCCCATCGTCACTTTGTATCTCGGCTTTTATGAAGTGGCTGCTGGCACGGAGAGCGGACCCGCTCGGGTTCCGGGTTGTTGCCTTGATGTCCTAGGCTTTGTGCTTTTTGCTTTGTAACGTCCCTTCCACAGGGTCGATCTTGAGAGAACACGTACGAAGCCCGAAACTCCGAAAGCCCTGAACGGAAGAAGTCCCAACAAAAGCTGTCTAAGGCGCGGTGGCCAGGACGTCATCACCTCACCACAGGCACAGGGCGCGGCAAAACTACGCTACTGCGTCGTGGTTTCGTGTTTTTCTCGTTTGGGAGTTGGCGCTCTGTGTTCATTGGAGAAGACCACAGCCAGCTTCTTCCCGACTAACTTGCAGCCCTGGAGGGCCCTCGAAGGCCAAGCCCCCGAAGAACTCCGCGCACCAGACCTCGAAAGCCGTAAATAGCCTCGGAGACCCCTAAGCCCCTAAACAAAGGCTCGGTCCTGAAGATAGCTTGGAGTTTGGGTTACCTTTCTATACAAGCCCTGAATCCATGCGTGGACGAGGCCATGCGGTCCTGGCAGGAGGTGGCAGGAAGCCGCTACGAGCACAAGGACTCGCCTCAACCCGGCGTCCTGAAAGCCGCAACGTTTAGGTCCAAGTGGGTAGTTGTCAAAATTATGGTCCCTTTTGGGGGTACCCTAAATAATAGGTGCCGTATTATAACAAGGACCCAAAAAGGGACCCTAATTTTGACAACCACCCAAGTACGCAATAATCATGCACGCTCTCAAATCCCAAATAGCAAGCTGCATACTTACTATCTGAAACGTAAGTACCTAATTATTGGGTCCTTTGGACCCTTAGGGCAGGACTCTGTTTTCAGAAGTCCCTTTAGGGTTCATAGGAATGTTCAGGGCTTGTCAACCCAACTGAAAGCCCGCAATGTAGTGCAACAGTGGAAAAGGAATCCACCGAACGGGCCTCGGGCTCCAGGGAGTACTGAGTACCATCAGACCGCTTGAAAGGATCAGGGAACCCAGGAAGCACGGTTATGTTTTTGTTGCTTTAATGTCGGCTACACTTTACTAAGTGTTGCTTACAAGGGCAGCTACTTCAAGTATGAGTATTGCTGCTTTAATGGTTGTGTAGCTGCCTAAATTTGCAAAAACCAAGCTTTCTAAGAGCCCTGATCCTTGAAGGACTGGATGTTGAGGAACGCTTCGGTGGGGGGTGGTTTCCTGAGGCTCCCATCTAAGAGAGGTTTCAGGGTGGACCCCCAAAAAAGCGAAGGATCCCCAAAAAAGCTTTAATAGAATTCCTAAACCCTAAACCCTAAAACCCCCAAATATTCCACCGTGTATGTGGGCGTCGTGTTTTAAAGCTTGGAGGAGTTCGGGTCCTTCGGGCACATGCTCGCCCGGGAGTGCCCATCCCTCTTGGCAGAGCTCTTCGAGCAGTGCCCTTTAGGGGTTCAGGGTTGATAAGTTTGAGGGGTCGAGGGGTTTAGGGAAGTTGAGGGTTCAGGGGTGTAGGGCAGTGTAAGGGTTCAGCGCTTTGGGGGATTTGAATTTGGGCGAGGTGTTCAGTAGGCTTTGGGTATTTCAGCTTGGGGTCCAGGGGTTCAGATTTAGAGGTTTGGGACCCCGAGTGTGGAGGTGGAAGTTGCGACGGCTCACAGGGTTCAGGATTTGTTTCCTTTTGGGGGGAGTTTGGGCTTGGGGTATTGAGGTGAAGGGTTTCGAGCGCTTCAGGTGCAGGTGGCTCGGGGTTGTAGAGGGAGCAGGAGTTCGTGTTGTAGGATTTAGGATCTAGAAATTGGGTTGAAGTCGTTTAAGTCTTTGGGTGTTTTGGGTGTTTAGGGTTTTCGGCCTAGAGAAGCTTTCAGCTTCACCACGTGTAGTCTAGGTTTGGGGTGAGAGATAGGGACTTCCAGCTTCCAAGCTTGTGGTGTGTGTGAAATTCGGAAGTAAGATCGCGAATGACACAGTCCCGCAATGAGAGAAAGGGGTTCTTGGAAAAGATGTAAGGCTGTGTACTGACGATACAGTAGTAACGATGGTAGGAAGCAAAAGATGCAAACTCAATGCTGAGCTTTGGACAAAAGGCACAACAACTCCAGGCAATCAGAAAAGTGGTAGAAACAACGACCTGAACACGAGTGGATGATGCGGCATCCTTCGATTGCAGAGCGACTGCTTCTCAGCGAAACATCTTTGTTTAAGGGCGGATACAAGAGGACGGTCTCGCAGTGCATCTGATAAGGATATGCAGGGTTTGCGTTTCAGAACATTGGGTTCTGTGATCCTTGCGATCGTGATGCGATGACGATCTGACCAGGTACTCGTTACCAGACTTCACGCACGAGCTGCGCCATTTCGAGACCTTCCGCACTGCCTACAGGTAGCTGGGGTGGAAGGACATCAGATAGGGAGAAGTTAGGCAGTTCTGACAGGCCCCATACCCATTCCTAAACATGAACGCTTTTATGCGTCGTGAACCACACTGTAGCAAGTCAGGCATAATGTACGGACCAGCCTCACAGTGAGGTGTCAGAGTGTTAGGCTTGGGGCTTTTGTTGCTGAGGTTGCGGGCTTGAGAGCTTCGGGCATTTGGGCGGTTCGAGCTCACAACATTCATGAGTTTAAAATAGACTCGTTGGCCTTGGGCCCGACAGCCAAAGGCTCATGCGCACGCGGTCGCAGCAGCACGGCTCCTCGCAGAAGGCGCCGGGGATCTCATGATCGATGCTGTCGCTAAGACGGTTGTTGAGAATGAGAAGAGGGGAGAGTCGACGAAGGTGAGATGCTTGCCGATGATGATGATGATGATGATGATGATGTTTTCTGATTACAGTGATGACGATGATGCTTACAGCTCGGAGCATTATGGCACTAGCAATGACGACGACAGCGTCGATGTGGCGAAACAAGATTGTAATTATGGCTGGTAGGATGGGCATGCAGGTCTAGCTGGTTGGCTGGATGGATGGATGAGAAGCAGTACATCGAAGCGTCGAGGAGTGTGCCTGCCCCACCATTGCTTGTGCTTTGAAGGTGCTCGGTACCCAGAAGCCGTATTTGTCTTGATCTAAGCTCGCACGTCGAAGGCCCGGGATATCCGCAAGAGCATGCGGGTCTGCAGCCCAACGCTGGGTGCAACCAAGGTGGCCGTGTGGATTTAAGAGTTTCTTTGTCTCTTTGGGTTTGGGCTTCAGGGTTTAGGTTTTGGGGATTAAATTGCTTTTTTGGATTGGGGTTTAGGACTTAAGCCGAAGAAGTGCACTGGTCGGGCAAGTCCATTTTCGGTCAGCCGGAAGCGACTATTTCGTAGGTTTTGGGGCTACCCGCAAACCCTGCGGCCTTGAAACGCCAAACCCTACAGCCCCCCAACAGTTCAATCGCCCCCAAAACCCTGAAGCAAAAGAAAACGAAAACACACTCTCAACACCATGGTTCATACGCCTGGAGAAACTCCTACAAAAACAAGCGCCTAGCAAAAACAAGCCCTCAAAGCATACACAAAGCCCTTCCAGCACGTCGAAGGTGCCCCTGGACGTTTAGGGTTTGGGGTTTAGGGTTGTCGAAGGTGCCCCTGGACTTCGAGCTGAACGTGGCGGAGCTGGATTTTAACCTTGAGCTCCTGGACGACATCACCCCACCCACGAAGGAGGCTTAGGGTTTAGGGTTTAGGGTTTAGGGTTTAGGGTTTAGGGTTTAGGGTTTAGGGTTTAGGGAAGGAGGCGGCTTTTTTGTGGTTGTGGTGGTTGATTATGTGGAGTGAAAGGGGAGGGGAGTTTCGGGTTCAGGGCTGCAGGTTTCAGAGCTCTGGGAGCTTCTTGGAGGTGGGATTTAGGTGTAGTTTAGGGTTTAGGGTTTAGGGTTTTAGGGTTTTAGGGTTTGTTTCCATGCTTTTTTCCGGCTCGCTCCGGTTTGGGGGTGTCTTGTAGGTTAAAGATATCAGCCGACAGCTGAGCAAGAGTCTCCCTTCATAATAGCCGCGTCATTCAGCACGGTTACTATGATCCTAAACCCCTGGCCTGGGTTTCAGTTATTCGCCCTGGGCATGTGCCTAGGAAGGTAAGCATCAGTTTGATCAAGACACCCCTTCGCTCGTGAGGGTTCCAAACAAGCCTGTGTTCATGACTTGAGTTTGGGGCTTAGTGGTTAGGGCGGTTGGGGTTCAGGACTTTGGAATTCTTTTGAAGGTGTTGACTTGGGGATCGCGAGCAAAGATTTTTAGCATCAGTTTCCTTAATGTGAGGTCTTTAGGTTGCCTAGCAGGAAGGCTGTGGGTGCGCGAAACATGAGACCAGATAAACCGTTGTCATACCCAGGACTAAGTCGAGTATCAAAGCTTTGGCCGTCCCGCTGCGTGGTGAGAGCTTGGCAGGTCAAGGTCATGCGGGTCGGCAACCTCACATGGAGGAAGGGTGCCGCGATGGGCAATCCAACACGCTTGCCATAATTGCTTTGGGTCGAGCTTTCGCCCATTCTCCTAGCCGGGCCGAGGAATTCGGATCCTCGCCTCCCTGGCACAAGACCTTCTCCCGATTCGGCCAGAGGGAATTCGCACCGTTTGGCCAGGCCAACAGAAGGAAGCCCTGTTTTCGAATTCTTGAACCTCGCCTCATCTGCATTTGCCCGAAACCTGTCTGAGTATGCCCAGTATTCGCATGACTAGGAGGATCGGGAGGAAGTGACCTGGATGCTCATATACCCCAGAACCCTATTCTGACCACTGAGGCCTGTATGTCTCCGTAAATCCCTTACCGAACCCCTTGTGGAGCTCGTTAAAGAGCTCTGTTCAACGACTGAGGCCCCTATCTCATCCGTCGCTAGATGACTACGACTCCAGTAGAAAGGAGGAGTACAGCTACCAGCTACCAACTCAGTGCTGCGCAGCGTCCTCTCATCAGCAGCTAACAGTAGGAACCGAAATAGTTTCCCATACACGTCCTCGTTCCCCCAGTTGAATCATACCGCAAAACCCCCCCTGCATTTAATCTGGGCGTAAGACGCGACCTGCTAAAGGAAGGCATATGCTTGAGCCGGTTTACATCTGCGAATTTCCGAAGCGGCGGGGAAGCGTCCACAAATCCAAGTTTTGAACAGTTACTCGTCCTCGAGACTCTTATCATACAATCTTTGTCGTTGGCTGTGTGGGTCTTTGAAGGAGTAGGGGCCTAGCAAAAGCGCTCTCAATCACACAAGCACCTGAAGTTCTGAATGAGTGTAATGTCCTGAAAGGTCTACAAAAAGGCCTTGCCCTGATTTGTGCATGTAATTGCTTGACTCCCAGTCATCTCGACCCAGGTGCTGGTAAGCGGCATGTTGCAAAATATTTATGTTTCTCAGTAAAGCGCTCATGAAAAGAGTGACCCTACGGTAGCGAATCCTTTGCAGTGATTGTTTCACACTTTCGGTTTTTGTGTTGGGATTGAGGGATTCAAGGGTTACTGCGAGCTTTAGGGCTTGCGGCTTGGTAGAGAATATCTGAACTCCACTTGCCCCGTCGCGCTCCATCTCCACGCAGCTGCGCCGTGCGCTGGTGGCGCACAGACGGGCGTTGTTCGGGCGATGCGGCTTCTCGTAGTGGGGCTGTCTTAAGTCTATCAGTGGAATCGGCCCCCCATACGATGGATACCATCTCTGTATATGTATACATATACACATACATACATGTTAAAGTATGGTACATGAACGACCAAGGTACTTAGGCAACAGAGCGCCAATTAAGGGACCTTCCGATGCCTCCAGAACTACCCTAAACCCTAAACCCTAAACCCTAAACCCTAAACCATAAACCCTAAACCCTAAACCCTAAACCCTAAACCCTAAACCCTAAACCCTAAACCCTAAACCCCTGGGAGAAACCTTCCCAGCTGAAGCCCAGACTTTCAACGCAATCGAGTGAAGCAGACACAGCCATTCAGATCCTCGAGAAAAACCCCGTGTTTTTGCTCTCAGGTGTAGGGATTAACGAAGACAGGATTCTCGTCACACTTCTCTGTTTCGTGGTTCGGACAGAAGGCCCCCCAAAGTAATCGAAACATGACCCAGTGCGGACCGCCTCGAGGGACCTGCCGTCTTGCTACTTCCGAGACATCACTCGCCGAGAGTTACTGGACTTATCCTGAGCCCAAAATCCCGACCGCTTCTGAACCCAGCCGTCAGCCCTAAACCGCCCTTTTTGAAAGTCAGGGAAAGAGCAAGGGGGGGGCGCGCGCTGCGATCGAACAGTGCCCGAATCCTGCAGATGAATTCGGCCTCAGTTTTGAGATTTGCCAGGTGGGACCTGGAATTTGCAGTCGACTTGGGGCTAAGGGCAGTTTAGAAGTTTGAGGGTTTAGGCTTACAGTAGGGGTTTTGTATTTAGGGCTGAACCTGAACCTCCCTTTCAAGCATGGACGACTTGACACCATCATCGGCTGTCCACGCCTTGCTTCATCGACGGCGCTATAGCCTCGTGGCCAGACTCAGGAGCCAAGGATCGGCCTTGATGCTGTATCCGAACTATGGAGTTCCATGCCCCGCCGCCAGGCCACGAATACTCTGCCAGAGCATTTCTTCACGGTGTGACTCGAGAGGCAAGATTCTGCTGGTCATGGCGTGCCAGACAGGCCCGAAACCGCGTGGCAACCTTGAGAGTGCTTTTGCGTAGACGACACGCTTGTGAAGGTGGCTATCGTCCACTGGCCTCCAGCGTCGCTGAGAAAGTCGAGCTAGAGCCGACTGCAGGCGACACGTGCAGAATTGCAATGTGCCTGGCCGCGGAACATTGGAGCTGCGTTCAGCGGACGGAGGCTCACATGGTTCGCACGAGCCTGCGCCCGATACCCCCGCCGCCGTGCTCGTGTGAAGGATGGCACAAGTGTGGCCCTGTACCCGACCTTGGCGGCGCTGCTGACTCACATCGAGTCTAAGGTCTGACCACGCAGATGCTGAAAACATCTGACAGTGCTAATTTCCGTGACATTCTTGTGCAAGGATGGGGTGTCGTGTTCACAGTCTTAGGTCTAAGGTCCTTGGAAGACGGCAACGGCTTTTTGCTTTAGGGATCAGGGCTTGAGGGTGTAGAAGTATTTCCTGGTCCCACCACGGCCACAAGCAATGTCTTCAACAAGACCTAGTGACGGAGCGCCTGCCAGTTTAAGTGGGGCAGTACAGCGCAGCTCAGTGCAAGCTTGGTGTGTGATTACCCGCATCACACGGTGGCTCTGCCAATATCCAGTACAGATGCGAGATGCCTTACCAATCTAATCTCTTGCCGCGTGCAGGCTTCACCTATTCACACGATTCAAAGCTTCGACTCATGTTTAGACCCCTGCTTCTTCGTTACAGGTGTGAGTAAGTGAAGCTCCTGCATGTGAAGACAACGGCAGACGTGGGCTTCATGCCCTAATCTTCAGACCCTCTTCCAAACCCATCTTGAAAAGAGCTTGCACAAAGAGACTGGAGAGTGCTGAACCCCTAAAATCCCACCCTAAACCCTAGAGCGAAGCACCTAGTCTTCGTTAACGCCAAGGCGCATCATCCCGGATGCCCCATGCCTCAGCACGAGCTCCAGTTGGACCTCGAAAACCAAGACCCCAACTCCTTACGCCAGCGTCCCTCTTGTGATACACAAGCCTTATGAACCCCTTGCATAAGGCCCACAAACCTTTCCTGCACTCGGATGCCAAACCTAACACATTGTGTAAAATCCACCTGTGGTGTGTCGTTGTCGTCATCATCATCACCGTCGGAAAAATCATCTTCACAGCAACGGTGACATGTTCAAATCGTAAGTATCCACAGCAGACGCCCTGACACACGGCAACATCCCAACTTCAGTTCAAGCCCAAACCCTCGGCCATGTTCCCATGGCCCCGAATCCACGGGCTGCTCGCCAGGTCGACTGCGGACGGCGGGCCATGACTTGGGCTTCCCCTAACAACTCTCAAGACTATAGTGGGACCAAGGTAACTCCTCATTTTAATCCCCTAAACCCTAAACCCTAAACCCCAAATCCACCAAGACACGGTGCAGCATTGGAAGTAGCCGAAGACTCGCACGTCTTCGTGGTGCAGAGAGAAGAGATCATATCAGCTGAGTCAGCTGAGAATGGATACAAAAAGCACGACTCTGTGCGGCATCCTCATGTTAGCAGAAGTGCCTGGCGAAGCTTTCACAGATGAATCTGATTGTGCCCATCGGCAGTGCATGTTCGTCGTCACCGTCATTCCGTGCTATTGTCCTTCCCTGTATCCCGATTTCTTCAGAATTTACGATCACGAACACCCACAGCTTCTGATGCTGCTCTGCAACGAGACCACGACCGCAAAACGTCTCGAAGTGTTGGACCCGCAACAAATTCGCCTGGCCGGGAGTTTCGGCAGCCTACCTCTGTAGGATTGAAGGGACCGAGCTGGCGCTTAACGTTGATGCACAGAACATGTGTTTTCATGTGTTGATATTTGCACCTTTGAACATGTATGCCTGTTTTGGTAGATCTGATGTTTGAGTGTGCGGTTGCAGAGCTTGCTGCTGACGGATTTAGGCTCCCAGGGATTTAGTAGACCCAGGGCCCTTAGATTTGAAAAGCCCTTGTGAAAGGGCGCCTCAGAGAGCTGGTAGCAGATCTAGGGATGATGTCATGCAAGTACCATCTGCTCGCAAGTTTGCAACCCGAAACCCTGAAGCCAAGAAAGTCCACGGATCCTTCAACCCTGAAGTTTCAAAGCTGAGCCCGTTTGGTGCCCAATGCTCTTGTAGCCTTGTAGAGTCTGGCGAAGTAAACCCGAGAAGCGGGAAACAGGACAGGACGTCCGAGCCCCAAACTCCAAAACATCACACCATATCACACGTAACCACAAGCCTCGATGCTGGACGCCAAACTGTTGGCGGGGAGCCGTGGGCATGGCGTCAGCCGAGTGGAAGGCATACCTGATGTTAATTTCTATTTGTAGGATGTGTAGTCCTGCCGCTCCTCCACCAAGTACGGCGGCGACGACTTCCACCGCCATCATCAGTAGCTGTGTGGCCAACTGCCACGGAACTGTTCTGATTGCCAGTACTGCTGCCAGTGATAGCCATCACTAATCATTGCCAAAGCACTGACAAATGAACCAGCTCTTCGTATTCTTAGCTGTGCTGCTGGTAGGAAACTGCTCTTGGTTAAGATTCCCCAACAGGGACTGTTCTGAATCAGGCTTCCTCTTGCCGTGCTTTGGAAGGCGGCGATGCTACCGGAACACATCGAAGAAAGCCCCGACTTAGAGCGGCCCATTCCGAAGAGATCCGAACCCGAAGGTCCTCGGCGATCTGGTGGAGTATGTTCTGGAGCAGGACGGAAAGGCACCGGTTCCGGGGCTGAAGGCAATAGCGTTTTAGAGAGAGAGAGAGAGAGAGAGAGTGTGTGTGTGAGAGACAAAGAGACAGACGGACGGACACACAGATAGACAGACAGACGGGCTTGTGTCTACTGGCATGTCCATGGATGCGCATGCTTCATGATTGATGTGTTTGAGCCTTCTGGGTCTGCAATCTGGATTTCCAGGAACGCTATCTGCCGCAACTTCCGTGCAAGTGCAACGTAAAGATCGGGGCTTGGAGCTAAGGAGGCAGACATCTAGCAAACTCTAGCACCCAAGGGTCAGGAACTTTCGACAGCTTGTGGGGCTTCGGGGTGCGACAGGGTTTTTGGGCTTCTCGAGGCCACGCTTGCAGAGGCCTACAGACGTTTTGGGTGTTTGGTTCGCTGGTGTGGAACGGTTAAGGTTGAGGGTTTAGGGTTTAGGGTTTTGGTTCGCTGGTATTTGGGGCCCTTGGAAGCCAGGTCTCTTCCGAGAAGTTCCAGGGCTTCTACTCGAAGCACCCCGCATACAAGGCTGCCATCAAGAATATGAGGACACCAGCTTCAATTCTGTATAAGCTGTTCCTGAGCATGGCCAAGTACAAGTAATTAAGAAGGGTCAAGATCGAATAGCCGAGTACCTTACCGTGCTTCTGAGCGAAAGGCAAACCGGTATGTCGGCACTGCGAGACCCAGGACTTTCTGCGAACAGCATGCGGACGTCTTCTCGATCTCGGACACGAAGCCTCACTGGCAACTGATGGTGAAGATTCCAAACGCCAATGCTGCTTGTGCTGAAGTTAAATTCGGTCTTCAGATGAGTATGGCATAGCACCTAAGCTAGTAAGGCCAGTAGGTCGGGAGAATCCCAGGGGGCTTTGCTCGATTTTTCACATGAACTACTTCCTAATAGTTTATTTGATTCTTGGGCCGCCCTATGAAAGGCTGAGACAGACGGGCGGACAGACAGACAGCCAGCTAGACAGACAGACAGACATAGAGACCGAAAGAGACAGACGGAGAGACGGGGAAAGACACGCAGGCGCCAGCCTGGGTCTGGGAAATATTGTATTTATGACTGCTTGTATGTTGTTAGTTGCAGCTATCTTCAGCTCAGACCCCGGTGGGCACATCAAGGCTATTGACCTGGATCTTCTTCACTGAAAACGTCCATTCATATCTGATGCAATAGGGCAACTTCGGGTCTGACCTGATGCAACTACCCCCGTCAAACTCTCCGAATTAAGCCCATGCATGGCTACGAGACGGCTGATGCCACACTCCAGTCTCAGTATTAGCCTCAATCTTGAACGTTAGTCTTAGCTCCGACCTTGACCGCAAGCGCATTAAGTTTAAATTATCCGGCTACAGTGCCGTCCGTGCTAGAAGCGGTGAGAAAGCAAGCGTCTAGGTTTTGTGCCAGCTGCAGATGCCTGCACATGACAGTTTATATACAGGTGTATACACATTACCTGCGCGCACATGTATGTCACGTGTATATATCTGTACATGTCTACAGTCCCTTGTAGAACGGACATCAGGCCACAACGAAGAAGCTTGCCGCCTATATCGGCGACCGCGGAGGCACAGTTGCTCTCGGTGACCTCGAGGTGCCGGCAGCTGCAGGACGTTCGTCCTAGAAATGTGGGGTGTCGGTTTTGGGCTTGGGGTGCTAGGATGCAGGGTTTTGCGGAGAAGCGTTTGCAGAGTCTTGGGGTTTTCGCTCACGAAAATGCATTCCCTGCACGAGTAGACGATGCAAAACCCGCGCATGTCCGGCCCATGAGGCTACCCAGGATTCTCAATAGCATTCCTCTGCTGGGTTTTGGGGACTTCCGTGCCCCTCAAACAAGGATGGCTTGTTCAAGAACCGTAGAACAATGCCGAGGCATATTGCTAAGTTGAGACGGACTTGAGTACTGGGCTTCGCCTTTACAAGGACTGTGACGGCTTTGGCTTCAAGATCTGCATCAAGGGTTTTCCGTGCCTCGAACGGAGAAACGTGATCCTCGAAGTGTTTCTTGCATTTAGGTGGGCTTGCAACAGACCTTGCAAAGTTCTGGGGCAGCGTAGATAACATTGGATCCTGTCCCGGTCGGCGCCGAGGTTTGGAAACGTGAGAATCCAACAGCGGCAAGGACCATCCACAAAGGAGGAGAGCTTCTGGCGGGCTATAGAAGTTTCTTGTAATTTAACGCTTCGCGTCGTCCGCCCTCGGCCCGGTCGCAGGTGCAGAGTACTTTCCACATCAAGGCCCATTGAGTGTGGGCCGAGGGGCGGCGTTCGGATACGAGCAAATCAGAGGCCAAGCCCACTTCCGCGGTCGGGCCTCAGAAGCAAAGTCTGCACCATTTGATGGGAAGAGGGGAGGGTGCCCGGTGGGCTGATTAAGAGAATAACGGGAAGGACACCAAGAGGGGACCATAGGGAACCTCTCACCCCTTCGGCCGGGGCCGAGGCCAGTTTCACTTTACCGGGCACGCTCGTGGGGTATGGTGTAGCTTATACGTACTGTGGCGCAGGACGCTCCATCAAGGATTTCTTCGACGGATGTGCATGCGCCCAGAGGCTGCTGACAGTCGAAAGTACATCCGGCATTGTGACGAAGGCGCACCGTTTGCTGAAAGCTTTTGCTTGGTTGCTGCAGAGAGCCCCTATAGGTGTGTAATTAAGGAGTGGAGCATCTTTTGATTGCAGTTGCCGACGCAGGTGTCTTTAAAGGCCGCCGAGGGACCTCCCATGGTCGGTCCCGTGGGCTCAACTGACGACCGTGCTCGTGCAGCTGTCAACCTGGCTCTGTATCTCCGCGGCCACGGCGGCTCCCTGCTCGCACCTCAAATCCATCGATATTATGCACAGTTCCCTAAACACAAGCAAGTCATCGGCAAGCTCAAGAAGTTTTGCGAAGAGCACGGCGACTTTCTTGTCTATGAGAACGACCCACACCCTGGCAAGATTTCTCTGCCCAGGCGCCCTGAGAGCAAGCCGGACAGGATCTTAGCAGGACCCTGCCATGCTGCATCTTTTCGCTCCAAGCCGCCGCCGGCTCCCCCAGAAATGACATTGGAATCGGCCGACCCTGTTGTTTGCATAGCTGCAAGCCTTGCCATGTTCGTCCGGAGCCAGGGAGGTTCCATACCCGGCAGCAACATGTCTGAGTACTACAAGATTCACCCATCACACAAGCAGGTGATATCGGACGCGGGTTTGAGGGCATTCTGCGAAAGATACGACGGCCTGTTCCTGTTCGAGCCCCTGCCGGGAAGTGGAAAACTGTCCTTAAGGTCCTTTTGCTGCCACTACTTGAGAGGGGAATGTGTCCATGCTACTGACCACGATGGGAAGCTGCACTCTATGCCAGCCTCCTCTCCTGTTGTTTGTTCTTTCGGCACGAAGTGCATCAAGGGCCACTGGAAGCGACTGGAGGACCTGGCGAAACGGAGCCTCGGAGCCGTCACATCGCCAGCTTTCTCAACTACGAAGTTGAATGTGGCGGAGATCCGATGGACTCACGACGCGATCCGCGTTACCTTCCGAGATGGCAAGCTGCTCATGGAGACCCTTGTAGATTTGCTGGCGGGCAAGCTGCGACCCTCCGACCTCCCGATGGTGGAAGTGTTGGAGCTGGGTGGCAGCTTCTATGCTATCGAAGGCAACCGTCGCCTCTGGATTTTCAAGGAGCTCCAGGCGATCACGGGGGAGGCGCTGACGATCGAGGTCCAAAGTAGAAAGCTGGACGTCAAGGGCTTCACACAAAGCTTCACCTCAAAGAATGGAGGGCAGTCCGTGGAGTTCTACACCAAGAGCCGGGAAAGGACCGCCGGATAGGGCGAAGCCTGCAGGGCAGGGAAACCCTGGCTTTGGGGAAGAAGCCTAGTCGTGCGACTTTTTCTACTTCCACGCTATGGAACCCCACATCTTGCGAGAGCTTGAGCCCTGGAAAGGACCTATCCCAGCATGAGCTTCGCCCTCGCCGTCTTCTTCGGCCGGGTGCCGAGTGAACTGGAGATGAGCATCGGCCGCGAGGTCGCCAAGGCGCGGCTTTTCGGCACGGTTCACGCCCGGACTATTAGACCAGGCCTTTCGTACTTTCTGAGCGTAGGCGCTCAAACAACATGAATGCCGACGGCAGAGGCACCCGCTGGAATGATGAACGTCGAGGCCCTGGCCGCTGCTCTGTCTCTCGAGGTGGCACCTCACTCAGGGCAGATTCGAGTCGGGGCCGAGAGACGGGATGGAGGGGTCTGGAGTTAGGGTTGATTGTCATAGGAGTCAAGGTGTTTTGGGTCTGGGTTTAGATTTCACAGTTTTTTCTCATTCTAGTAGTAGTGGAAGTAGCAGTCGTTGTCGTAGTAGCAGTAGTAGTAGCAGTAGCAGTAGCAGTAGCAGTAGTAGTATTAGTAGTAGTAGTAGTAGTAGTAGTAGTAGTAGTGGTAGTGGTAGTGGTTGTGGTAGTGGTAGTAGTAGTAGTAGTAGTAGTAGTAGCAGTAGTAGTAGTAGTAGTAGTAGTAGCAGCCCGTATTTGATCGTGGGTCGAACTGTCGCTTGGGGTTTATCCCAGAGTCAGAGTGGACAGAGTACTTACAGAGTGGACAGAGTACTTGCGCAGTTCCGAGAGCTCTGCCCTGCTGAACCCCGACATGTGGACCCCTCAACCAAAACCCTGAGCCAGGTTGGTCCTGGCTTGGAATCGCAGCTTCGGCAGCGGCCGGACCTTTTCCAGCTCACCAGGGGCGAGGCACATTCTCTTCAAGCCAACAAAAAGCCGCTGCATAGCCCCCAAATCCCGAGCTCGGCCCTGTGCCTCAAACCCAAACCCTACATCCCCAGAATCCCACCTTGCCCCTAAGCCTCTACAACCGAAGCTTGGGTTTCCTAGCGCTTCTGCCTACGGAGCAGGTGAGCCTGGCCGACTGCATGACGTCTTTCGGAGCCAGGGCTGCAGGTTTGGACATGTTCAATTTCTGTAGTCGTACACCAAAATGGGAGTTTCCGAAAGTTCCTACTATTTAGAGTACTATATTAGGGTCCCCTATTTTCGGAAACTCCCAAATGGCAGAGATGACAACCGAAAGCAGGCGCAGTTTAGTTTAATGACATTGATAGACACGGAAGTAGAAACGTACACATGCGACCGTCATATTTCATAGGACAAGCAACGGCCCTAGCAAGAGCTGCGAGGAGCAACGGTTTTAGTGACAACAGCAGAGTTCAAAATTTTGGGACGGATCTTCAGCCGCAACCTAGAAAGAGCAAGGAGTCTCAGGGAGGTGACCACGAGGACCGAGCATGGTGGCGATGCTGATGTGGATATGGAGCACCGAAATAATGCTGACGATTTGGACGGATACTACTATGGTTCCATAACCAAGGCTTCTGGAGGAGATATCATAAATGCTTCAGGAAACTCAACGAAGGCAAGATGCAGTGGCAAGCAAACGTCAAGCTAAGCCAAAGAACGCCATTACACAGCGTAGCGTCGTAAGGCAGCAGGACACCAGCAAGAGCGGGAAACCACGGTAAGTTTGAAAGAGAAAGAAGCGACTTCGCGAGAATGCGATCAAGGAGTGCTGGCGGCGCATGCTGCTCCGAACGATCAGCCGCCTGCAGACAGGCACGAAGAAGCAGATGCAGCACAGGACTAGGGCTCTTGCATTCTGGTTTGTCGTTCTATGGATTATTGCTGCCTGCTGCGCTGTGAGGTCAGACACAGCTTGGAGCAAGGTCTTGAGGTCGGCTCCAATCTTCACGCTTAGAGATCCCTACATTGCAGTATTCTCATGTCCTGGAATAAGTTTTGAGGTTGCGAGAAAGTTGCCTGCGAAGCCACCTTGGAGTTTACAAGTCCGGCACGGCCCATTCGAGCTGGAAGAGAAAGCTAGCACGATGACGATGACGAGCACGATGCCGATGATGGTGGTTAGTGAAAGTGATTCTGGTCTGTGAAGCATGATAATGTTGGTGATGATGTGGACAAAAACAGGAGTAGAAGGCGCAAGAGTACAACGAAGATCACGGAAGAGGAAGAGGATGGTAATTTCGGGACATCAGTCTGACGATTTAGTCTGTCGGGTTCAGTGGTCCAGGATCCTACAGATGAAGTTGGCCACACCTCAATCCAAGCGACGCAAGGAGAAGCTGCAGATGCCGGAGCTCATAGCAGGTACCTGCACCTGGGGTATTTGCATGCCGGCTTTCGCAAACTTTCAGCCTTAACCTCTAACCCCGGAGCCAACGGGGGAGCCTACAGGGTCCTGAAATCGACAGAAGACTATGTTCTTCATTCCACACCCGTCGCGCTTGAAGTGCATCTTTGACCTCCCGGTGTCAGACCTCCCCACCTTCCCTTGGAGCAGGGAGGGCTAAACCCTGAAAGAAACTGTGGCCTACAAGGCGAAGGGCGGCACTGGGACGAGAGTCTCAGGGAGATCCTTGAGGCAGGTCGAACTGCAGAGACCGTGCTGAAAGTGATCCTGGCACTTGAATTACATCTTATACTTTCGTTGTTTACCAGTTTGACGCGGTGCTCCATACAGTTTGAGCCTATTGCAGTCACCAGAACAGCGGGCACCTGTCGGGCACGCGAGGGTTCCGTTAAGCTGTCGGAGCTGAGCGAGACTGTGAAGATGTCACAGGCCTCGATGCTGAAGGCTTTGACTTGTGCAGGTTCGATCTCGGCATCTTGTGGACCTTCATGGCATAGTATCCTGGTGCTTAAGCTCTACAAGCCTGACTGTTCTCGGGTCTTCGGTTCAGTATGGACTCCAGCAGGAGACCTTGCTGTTCTTGCTGAAGCAATCGGAGCAATTCCACATTGCCTGGTTGTCACCCGGCTGCCCTCGACCAAGGAGGTAGGGTTTTGGCACCTGAAGGGATCAATGCCTTGATGGAGATCCTCAACCGTCAGCTGCATGCTCCTACGAATTGCCAACATGGCATTGCCCTTGTCTTTGGCATGGTCAGGATCACACTGGGTTTTCCACGATATTTTACTGGCTGTTTCTGCCTCCCCCTTTATTGAGTCAGCGCTTGCTGTTTGTCTTCTTGTGGTACTGTTCTTTGCATATGTCACTATCAGATATGTTCTTCGTTTTGTCGTTCTCAGCACTGCTACCCATATAATCGTAACGAGCATTACTGCGCTTGTCACTCGTTTCAATGTTGTTCTCACTATCAGTGGTGCTGCCACAGCCATTGCTTTTTCTGACTCTTCTCACGACTCCACTTAGTTCTTTTCGTATCCTTGACCTTCGTAGCAGTGCGGTGTTGCTAGAACGAGCAAGAGCAGTAAGCAGTGCTGGTAGCCACCGTACATCAAGAAACCCGTCAGCAGGCTTTTCTTTGTCTTTTCCGAGTGCACTGTATTTAGGACGCACTGTGGCTTGTTTGCTGCCCCCGGTCGGATGCGCTGCAGCATGTCTACCGCTCCCGTCCGCTGGAGAGGTGAGGCCACGCAATTAACCACCCCCATGCCACAACCCCAGCAGAGGAAACGCTGTAACTATTGATGTCTTCGGCACACCAAGCAGAAGAACCACGATAAGTGCCCTTTTGGGCATGAATGGCAGCACTAACGGCATCGATGTTTTCGCAATGTGAGCCACGCAAGGCACAGTAAGTACGGATGAACCTGGAGCACTTGTACCTATCATCCGGGGCAACAGCGGCAGCCGCAACACCAACCTCTGGAGACATTCAGTGTCTGGAGCAGATCAGCCATCGCCCAAAAAAAGGTCGACCTAAACTCGAACTTTGCAAGCCAATATTCCTAAACTGTCGACCCCTAAACATCCTGCCTTGAACCGAAGCTATGCCCCGATTGATTCGCTCCAAAGCCCAGCCGAGAGCGTTGAGCATTTTTCTCTGTGGTTTATACATAGCAATGTCCTTGGACCGGAGAACCTCTACCTGCACCCAAACCCTGAAACCCCAAGCACTTTAGTGCCTGACACTGAGGGAGTCCGATTATCTGGTCTCCCTCGCCGACTGCCCCGGCGCAACCGGGTTCCAACAGCCTCACAGGCCGTTCTGGCACTTCTTGTTTAGGAAGTAGCCTTGTGTGTCAAGGTTGCTAAACCCTAAACCCTAAACCCTAAACCCTAAACCCTAATCATAGCCATCTTGAGGTCCCGCTTATCTTAGGACACCCCGAAAGTTCGCTCGTGCACGTGGGATGCATTTGCACTTTCGCGATTGACCGCACCTGCCAGAATCCAAGCTTTCGGCCCTACTGAACTGGCCTTGCATCTTCTTTTCGGAACCATGGCGCCTTCCCTAAATCTTAAACTACTAAGCCCGGAGCTGCTACGGCTCTGAATCTTGGCCCTGACTCCTCAAGTGTTTCTTGGTCTTCATTTGCCATCACCCCCCTATGTTCAGCTCACCGAATCGTCATTCGCACGACATGGATTGGGTCTAGGCCTAAAGTTTCGAGTTCGTGTCGGAGTTCGTGTCGTACGGTGGCACAGGCATATTTACTGCAACCAAGGCCTGTTACACTATCCGAGTTCAAAGCAGCAGCAGCTCATTCGATAACGGCCCCTCGTATCAAGCAACATACGTCTGTTGAAAAGTCTTCCTCGCTCCGGGTTTGGGCCCGATACTGAAGCCATGTTTGGCGGGGTGGCGTGTGTGAGTGTTTTAGGGTTTAGGGTTTAGGGGTATGCTTTCCAGGGTGGACATCGCCTCGAATGCCGACGACTCCACGATTGAGGCAACTCATCGGACGAGACATTTGAGTCTGGTGTGCAAAACCTTCGCTGCCACACCTCGCCTAGATCTTCAAGAAGACCAGGCAGATTACTAAGGATGTGCAACTTCGGCTTCGTAGTGATGCCGTTTGTAAGAAGCTGTAGTTGCAAACTCGAGTGCAATGTAACCCCACGCAGGTGCTTGTGCTGTCCGTGGATCGATTTCCTTGCGCTGCTCTTGGATTTGCTACCTTTCCCCGTTTTGTCCTTATGGGCTTGCTGCTTCTGCTGTTCCGGTTACTACTGCTGCTACACTGCTTTTCATTGCATCTACTTTTGTTCACGGCATCCACGTCCAACCTCGACAGTTGGGAAAGCTCCGCGCATTCCAAAAACTGGCCGGTATGGCCCTCTGTGAGCAAGATGCGGGAGTGATGGCTTAAAATTCTAGGCTTCGTTTTGCTGAGTCATTGCTACTTGGAAAGGTCTAGGGCTAGTATAATCGGCAAGCTCAAGGAACGTTAAGGTGTAGTGGTGAAGTGGGCGACAAGAAAGCGACTTTCCCAGCTTTCTGGGTCGGAATTCCAATGCCCCTGCAGCCTCCGATCCTCGAAGAGGAGCTAACACCCAAACCACAAACCACAAACCCCAAACCCGAAACCTAAAACCTAAAACCCTAGCTAAACCCTCGACCCTAAACCCTACACCGTCTGCAGGCTCCGAGCCTTGAGGAGGAGCTTAGCCATCTCTTGCGGGCGAAGGGGGGCTCGATCCCCCTGGGGGAGATGGAATGGGAGGAGGTGGGCGGTGGCTTCGGGCATTCAGGATTCGAGGCCTGGGTTCGGGGGTTGCGGTCGTCGCTGCATTCTTTCGCACAGGGGCTACACTTGCATGCGAACTACGTTGTGACCTGGCTCCGGCGACTCAAGACCTCGGACCCCAAAGAAAGGCCTTTCCTGTCTTTTCCATGATGCTCAGGTTGAAACCCGAAGCTTTATGGGTGGTTCTCTAAATTAGGACCCTTTCTTAGGTCCCCACTGTAGTACGGCGCCCTTATAAAGAGGATCCTAAAAGGGACCCTAATTCAGAGAACTACCCTTATGCAGGTGACAGTAAGACTTTGTTGGAATTCGGGATTCCTGATCGGAGCCTTGTCGTCTTTTAGCAAAAGGATCGCATTGCATTGGAGGTATAGACTTAGTAGGCCTGAAAGCGGCAACGAGCAGAGGCAACCTCGCGGCTGTGTATTTAGCACCCGGATGTGGTGCGAAAACTCCAATGAAAAAGCCACAGTGTAGCTGCAAATCGGGAAGCATGCTGCAGCTGCAGGTGTGCATGACGCACTTTAAGAACCTGCAAGAATTGGCGTCTTTCTTGGCAACTCGGCAGCATGAGCCAGTTGCAGCACTACACTGATCGACGTTTTCCAGCATTGCTCTGTGATTGCTGCTGTCAGTGGTACTTTTGATGCTGCCATTGTAACGACCCCATTATTCCTTTGGCGATTTTGGCAAGTTTTGTTGAAGGGGTCTGGCTGTCGTTACAAGGATGGTTTTTGTGGCCAGTACTCTTCCTGTTTGATTGAGTTTTCTGTCTTTCCGATGGTGGGGGTCTTTCTCCCGTGTGCTGCAGAGGGTTCCAGGGGGACTCGTGTGTTTTTTGCGGTTTAGGGTTTAGGGTTCTAAACCCTAAACCCTAAACCGTGGTTCCTTCTGTCTTGGTTGGCAACATTGGGTGCTCATGACGGATCTTGTTGGCGGCACGTCCGGCCTTCAAAGGTTGTTGGGGTTGCGCAGTCTCTGGAAGACAGCATCCCAAAACCTGACCTCTGTCAAGACAATATCGGCGACCTCACTGTTTGCCGTGATGCCGACTTGCCCGGTGAGATCCTAAAGCTTGATCCTGTTTCGAAGAAGCTGAGCCGAGCTCACCAGGAATCTCGACCCCGGCGCTTCTCCGTGCGCTGGGAGGGCACCCAACAGGTCCCAAACGATCATGTGGCAGGGGGGGCGGGATATCTAACGACTTTTTGTGTGGTCCCGAATATAATTACAACTAATTCGCGAAACCCTTCTCGAAGTATCAAAGCTCCGGCAGTAATGGCAGCCCTGGGAGGCTATTTGTAGCAAGGGGCTTGAGGGGCATACTCTTTCACATCAGCACCGGATGTGAAGAGACTCACTTCGCATCCTTTAAACCCTGAGGCGAACTGGGATCACGCAACCGTCGCAAGCCTTGTGGTTCTTGCAAGAAAGGGGCCTAAATAATTAGCATCACTCTTTAGGGGGTTCCTTATTATATTAGAGTATAATATACCCCAAAGTTATTAATGCCCCTGCAGTACTATGAGGTTCTAGGACCATCCGGTCTGAGAGGCCATAGAGAAAGCCTTCATCCCTCAATTCCCCCAAACGTCCCTGAGCCCTTGACAACGCATCCGCAGCCGCACGCAAAGTGAGTCGATAGAGTCGGTGTCCGCGCAGAAGGCCTGCAAAAAGGCTCAGACACTTGGTAGCTTGGTTCCGTGCGTTCTCTACAAGGTTGAAGGTACAGCATCATTCGAGGCTTCCGGATTGAATCCAAGTTCTAAAGCCCCCAAATCACCCAAAAGCATGAAGCAACCAACACATCCAACAAGAGCCCTCAGGCTATGAAAGAAGCAACTCTCTCTCTCTCTCTCTGTCTCTGTCTGTCTGTCTCTCTCTCTCTCTCTGTCTGTCTGTCTGTCTGCCTGCCTGCCTGGCTGTCTGTCTGTCTGTCTGTCTGTGCTTCTGTCTGTCTGTCTGTCGGTCGGTCGGTCGGTCTGTCTGCC